GGTTGTTTCATGGTGAAGACTAGAAACTAGAGACTAGCGGCACCTTATTATTCTGATCTCTGCAGAAATTATATTATGCTCTATATAGTTCTTCTTTTCCTTATTATAATTATATATTATTTTTAATCTATTTTCATTAATAAAAATATTCTAAAGGCCTGAAAAAAAACTTTACATTTCAGCTACTAAGTGAAAATGTACACTGGATACACCTCCATAAACCTATCTACTGAATGGAGTATATTGTTTTCAAATTATGGCCTAATTCTCCACTATCCTCAACTCTGACCCTAAAACAACATACATTTAGGATATGTGACTCCCATTGGTCAACAAAGAACTTTTGGACTATGTTAAGATTTATCACATTATCTACTAATTTATTGTTTTCAAAATAAATATAATCTATTTATTACGTAGCTAGAATTAGAATACTCTCCTGAGAGAAATTAAAATTAACCAATGCACTTAACATTAGTGTCTTTGTTGACGTGTTGCTGTGCTATCAGAACATGATAGAGAACCAGAGAAAACCAGGTAGTTAGAGCCGTTCCACACAATATATTCCATTTAATCCTGTAGTGTTCAGATGTAATTGAGGGCTTTATTATTATGCATTCAGGCTCAATGAGAGTACAATTATTCTATCTAAATATTTTAGAGATTACAAATATAATTTTACATGGACACTGAGCAGCTGTGTATGAGGTACAAAAGAAGAGAGGGTATTACATATGAGACCACGCAGAATGTGAAACATTCTGAACACTGATAATTTGGTGGAATGGTTAACATACTTCTGAATCGGAAGATCTTGTTTTGTATTCAATGTGTAAAATAAAGAAATGGTTGAAAACTGGGTTGTTTGAAAAAATACAAATTCCAAAGGAGAGTGAAAACTGGGTCTCTTGTCATAACAAAGGAGCTGAGTGTACCCATATCATTTCAAACAAGACAGGTTTTTTATGCACAATGGCTTTCCTTTGAAATTGATTTGGAGCAATTATAAGATAAAAAACAACAACAACAACAAAAGATGAGAGCTCTTCACAAGGTTGGCATTAATCACCCAAGTTAGTTTTAAAATAGATAATAATTTCGGATGATATTTAAAACACAAGCGGTCAGTCCTTGCTTTTAAAAACCAGAATTCAGAGTTCAGAATTCATTTCAGAACTTTGGATTGTATATATAAATATCATTCAACTGATATCACATTCAGACATTTTAAGTACTGGTATAAACTCTTCCTGTGTTACTTTTTGTACTAATTTTGTACTCATTTTTTAACTAGTGCACAGTTTCGATTCACTCAAAATATTTTATTCCATTACCATGACACAATCCTGATGTAGTATGGCTTAATTAAAAAAAACCTTGATCATGAAACAATTCACCATTCTTCAGTATAATGACATATTATAAAATAAGACTAATCAACCTAGTCTGGGAGTAACTTGATTTAATTTAATTAATTTCAATCATTAAATGATGTAATTTCTTTGTAGCCAATTATGAAATCTAAATAATATAACCCATAAATATGCTTTCCTTGTTATTACACAAATGTCCTCTAAAACATTGTCCTGAATATATCTGTTCAGAACTATCCCACTTGTTTAGCTTTGGCTACAACATGTTCTTGTTTCATAATTATGTACTCCAGACCGTAATGGTAAACTTAAAATCAAACACCCGGTGAAGTGCAATTCTACTTTGAAATGAATTGGCTCAACACAGAATTCAAACAATTACATTGTAGGGAGAAGGGTACATATTAATATTGATTTTTATTTTGAACAGTATTTTCAACTGCAAAGTCATTCAGTAATACAGTTCAAACAATACAGAATATATATATATTTAACGGGGAATGGTTCGTTTTTCCTTTACACTTATTTGTACTTCTAAGTAGAAGCGTACAGTCATACTGTTAGCCTTTAGATAAAATCCTAAGCAATTATAATGAGAAATATTTTTAAAAAATATGTTAAATGCATATAATATAACTGAGAAATTACTCCTTACTCAATACAAAATAATGCATGTGCAGCTTACTGTATACTTTGTTTTAAATAATCACTTCAAATATAAATGTTTAAATTGTTCTAGGAATAAATAAAAAAAAATACTTTAAAAAGAGGAAGCTTTTAGCACACATAATTAGGAATACAATTTGAGAAAAAAAGCTAAAATATTTCAAATGGAAGAGCGCTGTCTGGGGATTTTATTTAATGCTTTGGTTACTAGAAATCTAATATTACTCGGTTTAGAATGAAAATCGATTTTTTTTAGAAAAACATTGACTTCCTAAATCGTATGTTCTTCGAAGATTTTACATTTTTCATGCTGATTGAATTGTTTTTAACGGGGTTCTGTTTATTATTTGCTTTTGAAACTGAAAGGCAACAAAAAGCAGCCCCATTTTTCCCCCATTAAGATACTAAGCATTTGACTTCCCAAATAAGTGTGAACAGCTCACAACTAATTTAACTTGACTCAAAGCACATGCCTAAGGAAAAAGGCACTTGTTTGCTCTCAGACTGGTATTTACAAGCAGGGTCTGAGAATTCAGCAAGGTGCTGTCTCAAACAGTAAAGCTAACAGAAGTAACCTAATGTGGAATGTGAGCACGTAAATCTAAACTACACTCCCTTGCTTAGCTGTCTCACATAACCAATATGTGCAATTTTATCCTTCTCTTTTCAACTGTACAGAAACATTTGGCGGGCTTGGAAAAGGCCCGGTTTCTGTATAAACGTCTTTAGGGCCATCGTTTTATTCTAAACAGACTTGATTTTTTCAGATTGTGCACCTTGTGTAGTACTTGTGAACTGTCCTCCACAGCCTTCTATTTTAAATATAAAAGTTAGCATTTTTAATAATTAATCAACTTAATTTTGCTTATAATGCATTTTATTGGACTCCATGGTATTTCCAATATATATCTATTTCATATAGATTACATCTTTCAAGTCTTAAGCGCAGTTATTTCCAAACTTTGTGGGTCAGAAGCTTTGTCATTTAAACACACAGTTCTCTTTAACTACATGTAACATGACCTATATTCTCTACTATAGCTCTCAGTTAAAACCAACTGAGGAGGCCTCGAAGAAAGCCACAGTATTGCTGCAATCATAAAAATTATGTCAGGTGGGAAACAGAGGTCACCCCCGGTGCTTGCATAGGACATGTCTGGCACTGTATGGCCAAGAGTTTTTATTTAATTTTATTTAAAATGTAAAAATGTTATTTTTTCTTAGCCACATACGTTCCTAGATATTGTCAAGTGGTTGCTGAATACATTTTTTAATTTTGTGGCTTGAATATTAATTTCAAAATACCCTTTTGAATGCAGTAGTTTAATAATAATAATAATAATAATAATGAAAAAAGAAACAAAAATAATATCTAGCTTCTAGTGATATATATCAAAACAAATGCTTCTACCACTGCACGCACGCGATCTTAAAAATTTGCCCAGGTGTGGTTTTCTTTTCAAGTTGCAGAATCACACAGAGTCTTTTTTCAGTTTCAGAAACACCAAAAAGCTTTAAGTCTTCTTTAATGAAAGTGGTGTATCTTTTTTAAAAATCAAATTCCGTTCACTGCCCCACTCACAAGAGATTATTGTATTTATTCCACCTTTGTTGTGCAGTAAACAATTGTGAGACAGGACAAACAGCAGCAAACTGTATTTTCTTCAACCATTTTTGGAAAACAGTCATGGGGGAACTTAAAAATGTGTGATATGGATTCTCAGAATGTGTGACTGTTGCATGAAATATTGTCACGCATGCTTAACTTGGTAACCACATCCAACAGTTCATTACAAATTAGTTTTAAATAAATAAATAGGCTGTTCATGTTTTTCCATGTGATACTACGTTACAATCTCTATGGATTTTCTCTTATTGAGTTTTCATTGCTAAGACAAGCACAATAAAGGAAATAAAGGCAGGAGATGGATAGCATGACCTTTCCCCATCACAGAGTTGAAATCATCAGTCAGAGAAACTGCCAGAAATGTAATGAGCAGATTCTAAGGATAATATTCACGTGCCAGAACTTGGAGTTCTCAGACATTCTGATTAGAAAATTGTTCTGTCTGAGACGTAACCATAATTCATAAAACATTTCATATAATCTCTAGTGCTATTATTCAGACTTTGGGTCATGTCTGGCTTCTTCATGTTAAATTAACTATAACTTTTTTCTTTCGCTACATATGGAAATCCTACTTCTATGGAGAACACAGGCGCCTTTTCAATAGTCTTTTCCTGAGCAAACTAGAAACCTATACTCAGAAGTATTTCATATAATTTAAGATCATCAAAGGAAAATAAAACATTTATAGTGCCTCACTGAACTTAGGAAAAAACTTAGGAGCTTTACAAAGTTTATTATGAGAGACACCAGATATCTCATCTTTAATTATCTAGGCCATGCAACCCCATAAAATAAAAACGATCACAGAGCCTCAATGCAAGTCTTTAATTTAGTCCTCATTTCTCACATCCTTAAATCAAGCTAAACATTCTTGACTCTGTCTCTCAATGCAGGGAGAAGTCATCTATGAATTAATACTTTGAAAGGATAAGCCTGCATGTTTATTCCATCTGATTGATGGGTCGCACTATTCTAGTTGCACTTAAAAATTAAGAAAGTAAAAGTAAAAGTATAGCTAACTTTCAGATGGTAATGGTTATCCACGTTTATAGTTCTTTTTCCCTTCATTCTCTGTTAAAATCTCTCTTTCTCTGAGAAACATTAAACGGAAGACAGTAAGAGTAAATGCTGCAGGAAAACCTTTAGGCATGCGAAATTCATAGTCTTATCACCAGCAGAATCTTAAACCTCTTAAGTGAAGTCACCCTGTTTTATCACTCCTAAAGCATACCACTTTTTATTACATATACATATTTTGCTGGCATTATTCGTTGCGATAATGATGAAATAATTATTTGTAAGGAGATAAAATTGGAAATATTCTTACTTACTCAAAAAGATGGTTTTCACTCAGGATTCATCGGAAACAGGAACATTTTGTAAACCGCACTGTACAAGAACCCACAATATCCTGCAAAGGCTGTTAGAAGAAAACGAAAGATATGTTTGCATGTAGTTTCTGTGCTTCAGAGTAAACTCAAGTTCTCTCTCTCTGAAACACATCTGTCCCTTCTTTCTCCTAAGTCAGGCACTGAATTAAAGACACACACATCATTCACAGAACTTTGTCTCTCAAAACCACACCCAGACCAGAGTCAAAGAGGAGGGGAAGCACTGCCTTTTCCTTAAATAAGACCAGAAAGAGTTTAGACTTCTGTTTTTTGCTCTGGTTTGCTCCAGATGTCATGCAGTAGGTTGGAGCTTAAAAAAAACACAGTTCTATTTGTGTTTGGAATATCCATTTAAAACAGCACACATTTGCCACATAACTGAAATAATAACAGAATTTCCTTCTAAGGTGTACCTCAAGGATTGACATTGCAGACAAGTATTGCAGACATCTATTACAATGATGGTCACTTGTGCTTGTCTACATACATATGTGAACATGTCTAAACCTTTGTGTTTTGCATCTCATTTGATGAGGCCAAACAGCTGCTCTTTCCTTCACTCCAAATAGAACAGGTTCCCATTAAGAAGGTAGCAGAAGCCATGAAATACCCAGCTTTCACATTGCGTGTTGGTGGTTGAGAACTATTAAATGGGCAGGAGACTCACTCGATTGCCAAAAAATCTCCCTGTTCTTTTTTTATAAAGAATCTTTACAATCCACAAACCAACTTGTTCTTATTTTCCAAAGAATTTCTGCTACGGTAGTTCTTGAACAGCTGCCCAGGAGGGAGGTTTGTGAAATTAGGGCAGATCCGCGACAACAGCACAGTTTATTTTTTGACTGGGGAGGACTTCTGCCTCAGAAGCCAACAAAAGATTTGATAAAATCACCTCTCCTACTGCTTTTGAAGGTTAGTAGGTGAGTGTGTCAAATTATTTAAAGGAGGAAACTGATAGAAGGAGCAATGTTCTTTCAAAACGCCCTTTGAAAAAAGACAAAATAATATGTGACATCTAAGAAATGTAGAACGCAAATAAATAAATATTCTCTTTCTTGAGCAATTTCATTAACATAGCCTATGTGTTAAAATGAAGTGGAACGATCAATCAAAGGTGGTAAGCTGGAAAAAACTTTTTCTATATTTATTTCTTAAATATACAGTTAAATTGATCTGTGGGCTTGTAAAATGCGAGCACAGTCAGTTATTTAAATCAATGGGTTACACAAAAAAAAATAGAAATCTATTGGATGGTTGTGTTCTTACCATTCCACACTAAATATTCCTTTAAACGTCTCCCAGAAAGTGCAAAACAACTACCTCTAATGAGATATGGAATTTGAGGGCTTGAAACTTTAGCATCTGCTGTCTTAACCGGAGGTTTTGTTGAAAGGTTTTAATGGGACCTCCACCCTGAACGTGGAAAAAAAACTCACTATTGTTAGCATATCAGCATTTATTTATTTATGTTGCCAGGTAACACTTCAGAGAAATATCACATCATTCAAATCAGCACTTACTGATGCCTCATTGCTCCACGCTTCCATCCTGGCTACGCAAAAGAAAAAAAAAAGACTTTTGGTGATTCATAGCAGTATTTGTTCAAACGCAGCACTACCAACTTTGGCATTAATGTTTTATTTCAATTTAAGTCACCATATCGCTCTTTTTAACCCACAGAGACCAGACTGGTACTTTCAGTCTATCAACTTCAGCACAAGTTGGAAAAATATGTGCCTTTACACATATACATATATATGAACTTATTCACACAACACACAGTTTGCAGTAGTTTTATATCTTTGAAGCTATGCTGCCATTCATCGTAGAATAGCGGCCAGGCTTTCACACAGGCACTAGTGGTGTATACACAGAGAAAGTAAAAAGGATCATTGTCAAAAAGGTTCTAGGAGATTCTAGGAGAAAATAATGTTTAAATATTATTTGTTGTGCACATTCTCAACTCTTGCACAAAGAGGACTGACTGAACCCAGACTGAGAGATTATTCTGAAAACAGGTTTAATCAGGAAGCTGACTGACTGACAATAGCAACCAAGGGACTAGAAGCTATGTAGCTTAAACCGTGAAAAGGAATAAGATTCTCATATTAAGTGAGGAAGGAAAAAAAATGTCAGAAAATGAGGACTCCAAAACCAGTTAATTTTGAAGAATTCTTAATGCTTTTCTCACAAAGTAAATTTATCACATACAATCCTATCTTTATTCTTGCACATTGTTTTATTTTCTGAGGCTTTATGAGGTCAATGTGGTTGAGAGTGCATTGTAAAAATGGTTCAGGATGTAGTGAATTGTAGTCCTTTCTAAAAAAATCAACATTTGGCTTGTACAAATAAATGCATGGCAGTCAGCACACTCAGATGATTTGCAACATTAAATAAACAAGTTATTATTTCTGAAGGTGACCATACTGTAAGAGTCAAGGCACCACAAAATATTAAAAGCGCACAAATAAGATTTGATAATTTAAGTTTTTTATGCATCTCTTCAAGGAAGAAGTTTGAATAATGGTGCATTTTCTGAGAGTAATTGACATGATGTTTTATATTTCCTTATTAGATTCAGCACTTATGTACAGTACACTGAAAAACAACATGAAGGTGCCAGATGTGTACACACACACACACACACATAACATATGGGCAAATAAAATATCTAGAAAAGGCCTAATAAAAAGCATAGTTTGTCAGCATTTCTTTCACAGAATAGTTAGCTGTAAATATGGATGTTGATTATTTATATTTTCAGATGTTTTGACCACTACCACTCTAGTATGGAAGGAATTGGAACTGAGTTTGCCAGAACGTGCTGTTATGCCATAGAAAGGTGACAAACAGCCTGCAGTGTGGTAAGGAATAAAGGGATCCATATGCGTGATACAGGCTGGTTTATTGTAGAGGTGGAAAACGAATTACAAACTGCAGAGATGTGGCCTGACGGAAACAGCCAAAGCCTCTCAGCCGAGGATCGGGTGAAGGCTCCGGAGCTACACAGGGAGAACAGACAGACGCAGCCAGAGCCATGCTAATAAGGTGACTGGAGACTGAAGCAATAGGGAACGAGACTACCAGCAGCAAAACTCTCAGGCCAGCACACAGCGTGGCCGACAGCAGCTCAATATACGAGCCCTGAGCAGTGCTGCTGTGGGGCTTAAATGCAGTGCTAATCAAGGTTAACAAGCAGCATGTGACTAGGATGGCCTGCCGAATCTGGTACGTGCAGCACCGGGCGGGTTTGAGCTCCTCGTGCAAAAGTGACAGGTTACCTAGGAGACAAAGGGCTGAGAGCTGGGACTCACCTGGGCGTAACCCGAGCGCTGTCAGAGCCATCGCCCATTGCACCACAGTGTCTACAGGAGAGCCAGCGTTAAAATGCAGCAGTGATGCATCTCTTATTAAGAGCGCTACAAGGCCTTGCCCAGCCCCTGTGCCAGTCAACCAACAGTGAAGCTAGGTGGGGAATCCAAGTCACAGTAGCCGAATTATACAGCCCAAACCTGAAACTATGTGTGGACTGCACTGCTCTCTGGACTCTCTGAGATCCCCACAGCCCTCAAAAAGGGCACTTAGACAAATAATTATCTTGTTTCTAACACAACCCTCCAGTGCCGGTCTGCTACTTGATTTTTTTCCAAGTCTACATAATCACCAGTTAGAAATGCTTACATTTTTAGCGACAGGAGTTCCTGAATTGGCACCTTAATACATTTACACTCCAGTAAAAAAAAAACTTTGCAAATCGCTTCTAGATCTGTTTTGCTTTTGATTCCACCTGTAAATATTTTAAAGATAGATTATTAACAAGTTGGAGTTGTGGTCACCATTTCCAGGTAAATGATAACAGTTTAACAGGAAACAGCATCATATATGTATTAATCTAGAACTGAAAATGTACGATAACAATTAGATCAGGCACGTTGTTTGAAGAGTGAGATAGACATTTCCCGCTTTATGAACATCAATCTGATTCATAAATGTCATGAAAATTTCACCAGGATTTTAACAGAAAGAGCCATGTGAAACTGCAAGGTCTAAAGGTCTTTAATGATAAAGGAGGGGGCTGGAAACTAAACTATAAAAGCTGTATTTGGTCTGGCTGGTTGCCCAGAGACCAAGTCAAAACAAAGGCTGCCCACCCACTCCCTATCTTGGAGTTGAAACAGACTGCGGGTAATGTAAAGCCAGACAGGCAGACCCACAGTAAAAACTTTCACCTGTATCTCCCTGAAAGGAAATCCTATCTCTAGGAAGTCATGTGCGTTGATGACTCAGTCTAAGGGGGACCCCACCCAGCGTGGGCGGAATATTGGAGCCCGTCAATCAGGGCTGAATTGTGCAGCACTGCTTCAAACAACTGTTCTCTTTGTTCCAAATGTCATTTGAGAAAGAAAGAAAATAGATCAGGTTTTTTTTTCTTCAAAATCCAATGCTACATTCTTGCAGTGTGATGGTACTGTCTTGGATTAAAAGTGAAATGGCCTTCTTCTATTGTTTCAGATTTTTTTTCCACAATTCGTATTTTTTTTGCTGTTTTTTTTTTGTCAGCTTTTTGAAAGGCGGTATTCTGCATGTTCAAAGCAGCGACAACAACTATGAAAAACAAAGAATTGTTTCCCCGGGACGCAGTGTGGCCAAGTCTTTGAAATATATTGTGAATCTGTAATGCATGTAGTTGCACTGTGGCATCTGGTTAAATAACAATACCTAAATGTACCTAAAATCTATGCAATTGATAAATGAATGCTCATCAGCAAAGCAAAAACGCAAGGACACAGATGGAATCAACAATGAAGTGCACAAAAGCCTGTGAATAGAAGGCATTTATTACTCAAAGTAGGTACAAAACATGGTGGAGTGTCTGGAACAAGACGCCTAACCATGTTTCAAAAGCCAGGTCTTTGAGAAATAGTTTTGAGAAACTAAGCAGTCAAATAAGACAAACATGAAATGAGTGGCCACCTTCCGTTTTTGAAAAAGGAAAGAAAACACATAACATCAGATTTCTAAATTTCCCGTGGAAAAAAATCTTTCTTTTCTGAGAAAATGGTAAAGGTTGATCATATAAATCTATAGATGGGTTGTGCTACCCATATATATTTAAAGTGTATTATGTAACAGCAGTAGTCATAATGATTGAACCTGTCTTCAAGAGCACACCAACTGT